CTGGCCAACATGGTGAAACCCTGTCTCTACTAAAAATGCAAAAATTAGCTGGACATAGGGGTGCACGCCTGTAGTCCCAGGTACTTGGGAGGCTGAGGCAGGAGGATCACTTGAACCCGCAAATCAGAGGTTGCAATGAGCCGAGATCACACCACTGCACTCCAGCCTGGGCAACAAAGCGAGTCTCTGTCTCAAAAAGAAAAAAAAAAGATAATAAAATATTATTTGTCTTCCAAAAGAAAAAATGTAAGAAAAAAAGAGAAAATATTGTTAGTTGTGGTTACTGAGCTTTTTGGCACCCCTTAAATTTTTTTTTTTTCTTTTTGAGATGGAGTCTTGCTCAGTTACCCAGGCTGGAGTTCAGTGGCACAATCTCGCTCACTGCAACCTCCGCCTCCTGGGTCCAAGCAATTCCCCTGTTTCAACCTTCCAAGTAGCTGGGACTACAGGCGCATGCCACCGTACCCGACTAGTTTTGTGTGTGTGTGTGTGTGTGTGTGTGTGTTTTAGTAGAGACGGGGTTTCACCATGTTGGCCAGCATGGTCTCGATCTCCTGACCTCATGATCCACCCGCCTTACCCTTCCAAAGTGCTGGGATTACAGGCATAAGCCACCGTGCCCAGCCAAAAAAAAATTTTTTTTTTTTTTTGAGACAGGATCTCACTCCCTTGCCCAGGTTGGAGTGCAGTGGTGCGATCATAGCTCATTACGACCTTGATCTTCTGGGTTTAAGTGATCCTCCCGCCTTAGCCTCCCGAGTAGCTGGGACTGCAGGTGCGCACCACCATGCCCAGCTGCGGGAAGCAAAAAAGTTCCTCTTCATGGCCAGGTGCGGTGACTCACGCCTATAATCCCAGCACTTTGGGAGGCCGAGGCGGGTGGATCACGAGGTCAAGAGATCGAGACCATCCTGGTCAACATGGTGAAACCCCGTCTCAACTAAAAATACAAAAATTAGCTGGGCATGGTGGTGCGCACGCCTGTAGTCCCAGCTACTCGGGAGGCTGAGGCAGGAGAATTGCTTGAACCCAGTAGGCAGAGGTTGCGGTGAGCCGAGATTGCACCATTGCACTCCAGCTTGGGTAATAAGAGTGGAAACTCCGTCTCAAAAAAAAAAAAAATTTTTCCTCTTCAGTTTCCTTTCTTGTTCAAGAGTAAATCATAAGTGTGCTAATAACTCTTTGATAAGCTCTATCCTATGTAGCTGTTAGACATGCCATGCTTACAGGCACATAGTACATTCTACGTCCTTGTACTTTAACCAAGATATCTGTGCTGGATGTGCTCACAGGCATGTCCCAGCTCTCCATTGCTTTTACCTGTTTAGAAAAGTTTTAAGTTATTAGCCAATCAGTTTAGATTGTGAGGTCTGGCTCCAGCCAACGGAGATCAGACACAGCAGTAAGGGCAACCCCAAATGCGTAAGGAATAAATTTGTCTGTTTTCCTTTGTTCTTTGTACTCTCGTTCCAAGATGGCTAGTGAGAGTACCCTTCCTGCAGTCCAAGAGGTAAAGGTTTCATTGCTGAAAAATCCTTTGTCTCAGTGCTAATTTTTCTTTGTGGCACTGAACATCTATTTCCAACACCAGCTAATTTTAAAAAAAATATTTTTTTATAGAGATGGGGTCTCAAACTCGTGGACTCAAGTGATCCTCCTGCCTTGGCCTCTCAAAGTGTTGGGATTACAAGCATTGACCAGCCAAGTGTCAAGCTTTCTTAGCAACCACACTCTTTTTCAAATGAATAAACACCCCGAAAATCCCCAATATAAGCAATAATTTGGTGTAGCATTTTATTAGTAAAAGTTATTTCCAATGTTCGAATTAGGATTTACCTACAAAACAATTGATTCTCGCTGAGGCTGTTGAGATGGACACAGATATTTAAAATCAGAATTTGTAAATGAAATCTTTTTTTTTTTTGAGACAGAATCTCGTTCTGTCACTCAGGCTGGAGTACAGTGGCTCCATTTCAGCTCACTGCAACCTCTGCTTCCCAGATTCAAGCAATTCTCCTGTTTCAGCCTCCCAAGTAGCTGGGACTACAGGTGCACACCACTATGCCCAGCTAATTTTTGTATTTTTAGTAGAGACGGAGTTTCACCATATTGGTCAGGCTGGTCTCGAACTCCTGATCTTGGGTGATCCACCTGCCTCAGCCTCCCAGCGTGCTGGGATTATAGGCATGAGATGCCACACCCGGCCTGTAGATGAAATCTTAGGGGGTCTCAACATCCACTTTATTTCTGCATTGAGCAAGCCCTTGATTCACAGAGAAGCAGTGGCAAAGAGTAGCTGATTTTTTCAAGAACTCCCTTCACAATTCAAATGGGCTCTTCGGTTAAATGAAAATGGCAGAAAAATCCTAAATTATTAGGTTGGTGCAAAAATCATTGTGGTTTTTGCCATTACTTGGAGACAGAGTCTCACTGTCACTCAAGCTCAGGTGCAGTGGCGTGATCTCGGCTCACTGCAATCTCCGCCTCCCGGGTTCAGGCAATTCTTATACCTCAGTCTCCCAAGTAGCTGGGATTACAGGCACATGCCACCACACCCAACTAATTTTTGTGTTTTTAGTAGAAATGGGGTTTCACCATGTTGACTAGGCTAGTCTTGAACACCTGGTCTCAAGTGATCTGCCAGCCTCAGCCTCGCAAAGTGCTGGGATTACAGGTGTGAGCTACTGAGGTTTTTGCCATTATTTTTTTGAGAAGTCACAATCCTGGCTCACTGGGACCTCCACCTCCTAGGCTCAAGCGATTCTCCTGCCTCAGCCTCTCAAGTAGCTGTGCCCACCGCCACAGCCAGCTAAGTTTTGTATTTTTAGTAGAGATAGGGTTTCACCATGTTGTGCAGGCTGGTCTTGAACTCCTGACCTCACGTGCTCCACCCGCCTCGGTCTCCCAAAGTGCTGGGACCACAGGCATGACCTTGTGTGGCTGTTTTTTGGTATTATTTTTAATGGCAAAACCCGCAATTACTTTTTGCACCAACCTTAGTAATCTTCAACACCTTAAAAGCTGCTGCCCAATACATCCAAGCATACATTTTAACATTACAGTTTAAAATATTTTTAAATGAAATATGACACTAACATTTGCAGAACTGCCAAAACCTGCCTTAGAAACCTGGTTTGGAAAATGAATGAGTAAGATAGGAGTAAGGTCTTGTTCAGCTCAAAAGCCTCTGTTTCTATGGTTGCTTTTTCTGAGACTCTGTCAGAATTTCACAGAGGGGAGGAGAAATAGCCACTTTAAAGATTTAGACTCCCCTAGCATTAAAGCAAAAGCCTGAGAACACTGAGAAGGCTTTTAGAAGGCTGTGGGCAAAGAAGAAAAATCCACTTAAGTGAAAAGAAAACAATTTGACTGTTGAACTTGCATGAGGCAGATGGTTCAAAAGCAAAGCAGGGAGATGTCAGCAGCTCTTCCTACTCCCAAGAGCCTTCAGTTTTTAAGATGAAAAAAACCACATCTTTATCCCAAAAGTTCTGGAGCCAGGGAATAGAGATGGAAGAACTATAGCACGTTGATGGTTTACTGCCAGCTTGAGCCTTGAAGTCAGCTCATTAACCAAAGACGCACTTGTCAAATGCCCTATAGATACAAATTAAACCAATCGCCAACTTTAAAAGGCAGAAGATTTTTGCATAAAAGTCTGGATATCTGGCTTTGCTTATTACAATTGAAAGCACTGATGGAAGAGGGCCGGTTTTGCCATGGCGATTCTGGGCTAGAGTCAGGCTGCTCACACCCACCCAAGGCACAATCTCTGCCTTCCACAGGCCCAGTCTCCATCTCACCCTGCTGCTCACTCAGGTGTATGGAAGTACCTAGATTAGTCACTAGCTCCTGTGAGCATTTGAGTGTGGCACCTATGGAAGAGATGGTTGTGTTTTGGAGACTGAAATTGGAGTAAAGTCTAACAGGAATGGGACAGAAGGCTTGCTCTTAGATCCCTTGCACCTTGGGCTTGTGACCTGAATTAAATCATAACTACTTCTGCAAGGCTCAGTTTCCTTATCCGTAAAATAGACGCAGATACTCCTGCCTTCCCTAAAATATGGGCTGTGATGAGGATCAGATCACAGTATCTAATGCTTTATAAACTGTAAAGTTCTGTGGTCCACATCAGTGGTTTGTTCTGTCTCACATTCATCCATTCCCCCTTCACCTGGTACCAGAACCCTAGTTTGGGTCTCAGGAATAATCTTTTCTATTTTCACTCCCAGTGGTGGACATTGGGTCAGTCCAGCCAATTAGAGCTCTGCATTCTTCCAGAGATAACAGTTGGTTTAGGGCTAGGCATATGGGCCAACTGGTACCAACAAAGTGGAGGCTGGGACTGTAGGAAGAGAAGCTCTCTTTTCTGCTGAAATTGGAGACAGCAGCATATTGGCCACCATGTTGCTAACTTGGGGTGGCAAGTCTGAGAACGAAAATGACAAAGATTGAGGCTTCTGCTCCTGCCAAACAAAAAGAAAGAAAGAAAATGACAAAGAGAAAAGAAGAATGGAAAAAAATGGGAAGAGGCAAGGTCCAGGTCATGTAATCTGAAGCCATGGGTCCAAATATACGCCAGCAAACATATTCTTTTTGCTTTAACCAGATTAAATGGGGTTAAGTCATTGGAGCTTATACCCCCACAGGGTTGTTTTTTTTGTTTTGTTTTGTTTTGTTTTTTTACACTATCAGGCAGACTTGTGAACATTTGTTTGACTTGGATTCATTTCCTTGGGCACTCTCTGACTCCAAGTCCTGGGATGCTCCTGCAGCTGCTGCTAGCGCCTCTCTCTGCCTGGATTTGACCATCCACACTGCCTTCTTGAAGTTCTTGTGAGGGTCCTGCTGTGATGCTCTTGCTAAAAGGCACTGGAAACGCTCTCGGATCAGATAACCATGCCTGGTGGGGGCAATGAAGCCACTGATGGTTGGGATGATTCTGTTTACCACAGCATGGACAAACTGGACTGTCAGTAGGGTGCCTGTAAGGGTGAAGAGAAGGACACAAATGAGAAAAATGGGGTGTAGAGGTCCAATCCTATACATTCTAGAGTTGGCTGCATGGGATCAGATTCCTGTTATGCCCCTTATTAACTTTGGCATGACATTTATCATCCCAAAGGGTCCCTCTTGCTTTATCTGCACAATGGGAATGATAACAGATCCTACCCCTGCCCAGAGGGATTTTTGAGATTGGAAGGCATCACGCAGGTCATGTGTTTAATACAGGTTTTTGGCCCAGAGTAAGCTCAGTAAATATTATTGTCAAAGGAGAAGGAATAGAGATTGTGAACTGGCCTAGGATGGGCTTTTAAGGCCACAATCCTCAACCTTCAGCTTCTGAGCCATCTGTACTTTATACCGGTTATATATATCTTTGCTACAGCATGCTATACTACAATGTATTATAGTGTTATAGTTTACTGTGTATCAAATTACAGTACATTCGACTACAATGTATTAGGCTCCACCTGACATTCATTCAGCCACTTACTTCTTTTGTGACCTGGGGCAAGTCTCCTAACCTCTCTGAGCCTCAGCTTCTTCATTGTCAAACAAGGATAGCAATGATATTTATCTCCTACCAGTATCATAAGGGTTCAGAGAGGTAATACACAATGAGCGCCTTTTCCATAGGAGAAAGTGTAAGAAAGTGACAAAGGCATACTGAGATCAGGCAGATCAACTTCAAACCTCAGCCTACTAGTTACTCACTGTGTGACCTTGGACAAGTCGGCCAGCCTCTCAGAGCCTGTTTTTGCTCTGTAAAACGGGAGTGAGTGTTGAGAAAGTTAAATGACTTAAGGACAGTACCCAGTATACAATAAATGTTAGGTTTTTTTTTGACAGGGTCTCACTGTGTTGCCCAGGCTGGAGTGCAGTGGTGCTATCATGTTTCACTGCAGCCTTGATCTCTCATGCCTCGACCTCCCATGCTCACTTTATCCTCCTGAGTAGCTGGGACTACACACATGTGCCACTATGCCTGGTTAATTTTAATTTTTAAATTATTCATATTTTTATTTCTTAGAGATGGGGTCTTGCTATATTGCCCAGGCTGGAGTGCAGGGGCTATTCATAGGTGCAATGCCACTACTGATCAGCACAGGAGTTTTGACCTGCTCTGTTTCCGACCTGGGCCGGTTTACCCCTCCTTTTTTTTTTTTTTTTTTTTAGAGACAGGGTCTTGCTATGTTGTCCAGACTAGTCTTGAACTCCTGGGCTCAAGCGATCCTCCTACCTTGGCCTCCCAAAGTGCTGGGATTGTAGGTATGAGCCACTGCACCTGGCCAATGTTAACCCTTGCTAAGACCTTAGCATAATACTCAACAGACCAAAAGACACGGTGTTTTCCAAGTGGTTGGTCTTTAAACAGGCTGCTTCTAAAATGTATAAGGCCAGGGGGGAAAGAATGAATTAAGACCCACATCCTAGAAGATACAATATATAAACATTGCAATTCTAGGGAATAAACTATTAAATAAAAAACATGTCATGTTCTTCTATATTGATGAAGGAACCTTCACAAACACCTGGAAGGCGGGATCAGATTGAGAATTCTTGGGCTCCTCAGGGTTCTATGCTGGAATGTAGTGATGTAAACAGCCCCCTGCTACTAGTGACTTGACCCTCTTTTCTTCTCACTCTTCCCAGCTCCATCTCACAACCAGCTGAGACACCCAAACTCCATCCACACCACCCCATGGCTACTCCTGAGCCCAGAAGTGCATACACCAGGGTCACAGTGTATCTCAGAAGGATGGCTGCATGCAGGAAGCCTGTGCATGCCCTAATGAAAACTGAAGGCTATAGAGGGAGGGAGTTCTTGAACTCCAGAGCATGGGTCTAGAAGAGGGATTGTGGGCCCATTGCCTTTGCATGCAGACACCTTCCTAAAAGCTGAGGAATGCAGCTCGAGGTGGCCAGAGTGGGGCCCTCTAATACCCAAGACCCAGGTCAGAGCTTTTTATCTCCAGATCGAAGCTCAATCCTGCCATAAAAGCAAAATGACTCACCATCCAGCACACTCCAGACAAGTATGGAGCGATCCTTTAAGCCCACGTATACGTACTTGTCATCCTTGGAGAAGCAAGCACATTGGACCCCTCTGCAGTAAGAACTCTGTTGAAAACAGACAATATGTTCTCTCTTTTTTTTTGGGAGATGGAGTTTCACTCTTGTTGCCCAGGCTAGAGTGCAATGGTGCAATCTCAGCTCACTGCAACCTCCGCCTCCCACCTCCCAAGCAATTCTCCCGCCTCAGCCTCCCAAGTAGCTGGGATTACAGGCATGAGCCATGACACCCGGCTATTTTTTGTGTTTTTAGTAGAGACGGGGTTTCACCATGCTGGCCAGGCTGGTCTCCAACTCCCGACCTCAAGTGATTCACCAGCCTCAGCCTTCCAAAGTGCTGGGATTACAGGTGTGAATCGCTGTGTCTGAGCCAGACAATATGAACTTGATTCCAAACTGAAAGACACCCAGGAAACCTGCCCCAAGGAACCAGACCTTTTCTCTTTTTTTTTTTTTTGAGACAGGTCTGACCCAGGCTGGAGGGCAGTGGTGCCATCTGTGCCATCTCAGCTTGACTACAACCTCCACCTCCTGGGTTCAAGCTATTTTCCTGCCTCAGCCTCTCAATAGCTGGGATTACAGGTGTGTGCCACCACGCCTGGCTAATTTTTGTATTTTTAGTAGAGAAAGAGTTTCACCATGTTGCCAAGGCTGGTTGCAAACTGAGACCAAGTGATCTGCCCATCTTGGCCTCCCAAAGTGCTGAAATTATGGGCGTGAGCCGCTAGGCCCAGCGTGTGTGTGTGTGTGTGTGAGTGATGGAGTCTTGCTCTGTCACCCAGGCTGATCTGAGCTCACTGCAACCTCTGCCTCCTGGGTTTAAGCGATTCTCCTGCCTCAGCCTCCCAAGTAGCTGGGACTACAAACTCCTGCCATCATTCCCAGCTAATTTTTGTATTTTTAATAGAGATGGCATTTCACCATGTTGGCCAGGCTAGTCCCAAACTCCTGACCTTGGAACCAGGCTTTGAAGCACCCCACAGGGGGATGGATCCAGTGAAATCCTGGAGAGATGAACAGCACAGATGTTACCCCAATCCAGGCACACCTCCATAGAGGTTGGATAGAAAGGTTTAGAGACATTTTGCATTGGAAAGGAGCAATTGCAGGATTCAATTTCTTTTTTCTTTTCTCGTTATTGTTTTTTTCTGAGAGTTTCACTCTTGTTTCCCTGGCTGGAGTGCAATGGCACAATCTTGGCTGAGCCAGATTGTGCTCAGCAACACGATCAGATTGTACACTGCAACCTCCACCTCCCAAGTTCAAGCGATTCTCCTGCCTCAGCCTCCCAAGTAGCTGGGATTACAGGTGTGTGCCACCACGCCCGGCTAATTTTTGTATTTTTAGTAGAGACGGGGTTTCACCATGTTGGCCAGGCTGGTCTTGAACTCCTCACCTCAAGTGATCTGCCTGCCTCAACCTCCCAAAGTGCTGGGATTACAGGCATGAGCCACAGCCCCCGGCCTTACATGGCATTCTTTCTTTTTTTTTTGAGTCAGAGTTTTGCTCTTGTTACCCAGGCTGGAGTGCAATGGCGCAATCTCGGCTCACCGCAACCTCTGCCTCCTGGGTCCAGGCAATTCTCCTGCCTCAGCCTCCTGAGTCGCTGGGATTACAGGCACGCGCCACTATGCCCAGCTAATTTTTTGTATTTTTAGTAGAGACAGGGTTTCACCATTTTGACCAGGATGGTCTCGATCTCTTGACCTCGTGATCCACCCGCCTCGGCCTCCCAAAGTGCTGGGATTACAGGCGTGAGCCATCGCGCCCGGCCCTTACATGGCATTCTTAAGCAGCAGCCCTTGCCATTTATGGGGCATCAGGGAAATGTCAGGCGCTCTCCAAGGAGCAAGGGAAACTTCAGTGAGCAAAACACAGAAAAAAAATCTTTTGTGGGGCTGGGCACAGTGGCTCATGTCTGTAATCCCAGCACTTTGGGAGGCCGAGGTGGGTGGATCATGAGGTCAGGAGATCGAGACCATCCTGGCCAACATGGTGAAACCCCATCTCTATAAAAAAAAAAAAAAAAAAAAAAAAAAATATATATATATATATATATATAAATAAAAAAAAACCCTTTTGCCCAGACAGAGAGAGCTCACTGTGTCTCCCCAACTAGTGGAAAATGGCTTCAGGACATGGGATAGTGTCTCCCTCGTCACAGCTGCTTCCTCGGTAATAAAAAGGGGGCTGGCAGAGGCTGTTCAATAAATACCAGTTGGATAAAGAAACAGCACAGAGCCAGGATTACGGGGAAGAGTGAAACAGTCTCAAAGGGGTGCAGCATTTGATCCAGTTTTTACCTATAATGTTGACATTTTGTCTGCATGAAATTTTGGTATTCATTTTAGATTTTTTTTAAATATTGCATTAAAATATTCTTTCTTGGCCAGGTAGAGTGGCTCAAACCTGTAATCCCAGCACTTTGGGAGGCCAAGGCGGGCGGATTATGAGGTCAGGAGTTCGAGACCAGCCTGACAACATGGTGAAACCCCCATCTCTACTAAAAATACAAAAATTAGCCGGGTGTGGTGGTACACACCTGTAATCACAGCTACTTGGGAGGCTGAGGCAAGAGAATCACTTGAACCCGGGAGACAGAGGTTGCCGTGAGCTGAGATTGTACCACTGCATTCCAGTCTGGGTGACAGAGCAAGACACCATCTCAAAAAACCAACAAACAAATGAAAACGATAACAAAAACAAAAAACTTTGCTCCTGAGACAAATGCCTCACTTTCTTTTCTTTTCTTTTTTTTTGAGATGGAGTGTCTGTTGCCCAGGCTGGAGTGCAGTGGCATGATCTTGGCTCACTGCGACCTCTACTCCAAGTTCAAGCAATTCTCCTGCCTCAGCCTCCTGAGTAGCTGGGATCACAAGCATGCAACACCAGGCCTGGCTAATTTTTGTATTTTTAGTAGAGACAGGGTTTGACCATGTTGGCCAAGCTGGTCTCAAACGCCCGATATCAGGTGATCCACCCACCTCAGTCTCCCAAAGTGCTGGGATTACAGGGTATAAGCCTCTGCGCCTGACCAAGTGCCTCACTTTCTTCACCTTAGTCCCACCCAGGTCGATGGCCCATGGCGTGTACTTAGTAAATGGTAACTGTCTATTGGTTTTCCAAAGCCTGGGTCTAGGAAACATGGGGAGGCAGGCCACGCACCGTGTAGCTCATCTCGAATTTCCGCTTGCATGCCTGTAGGTCCCAGAGACACAGCAGGGCATCCTCAGACCCACTGGCCAGCAGCTGCTCCTTGTGGCTGACCTCCACACACGTGACTCGGCTCCTGTGGGCCTCCAAGGGAAACGCTTTGGAATTTGCACACTCGTAAAGAAAGAGGTCCCCGTTGGTCATGCTGTAGATCACGCGGTAGTCCGTCAGAACGGCCACATTGGAGATGGTCTCGGGCGGCTGGGTATAAAAGGTATACCTTGGGCCATCGATGAGCGGGCAGGGGTCCCCGGGGCTGATGTGCAGCACCAGGACGATGTTGTCATAGGCAATGGCCAGGCGGTCCTCATGCTTGCTCAGGGACATGCAGCTGATTGCTTTCCGGGCCTCGGGAGGGGGAATGCATATCACGTCCTGCCTGGAATTCAGGGGGAACACAAGGACAACCCCCGACATGAGGCCAGTGAACAGGAGCTTGTGCTGCTCAGCGACCTCCAGACACCTGACCTCACTGGAGGTGTCCAGGGAATATTGTTCCTCACCTGGCAGGAAGAAAAAATGAGAATTACTCATACTGAGAATGAATCTCAGCGGCACTGCTTCCCTGGCATTCTTTTTTTTTTTGAGACAGAGTCTTGCTCTGCTGCCCAGGCTGGAGTGCAGTGGCACCATCTTGGCTCGCTGCAATCTCCGCCTGCCAGGTTCAAGCGATTCTCCTGCCTCAGCCTCTCGAGTAGCTGGGATTAATTACAGGCATGTGCCACTATGATTGGTTAATTTTGTATTTTTAGTAGAGAGGAGGTTTCTCCATGTTGGTGAGGCTGGTCTCAAACTCCCGACCTCAGGTGATCCTCCTGCCTCAGCTTCCCAAAGTGCTGGGATTATAGGCGTGAGCCACTGCGCCTGGCTTGGTGATCATATTTTTAAGGGTTTAAAAAATGTTTTTTGAGACAGTTGCTCTGTTCACCAGGCTGGAGTGCAGTGGTGTGATCACAGCTCACTGCAGCCTCCAAATCCTGAATTCAACTGATCCTTCTGCCTCAGCCTCCTGAGTAGCTGGGACTCAGGCACCTGCCACCACACCCTACTAATTTTTTTTTTCAGATGGAGTTTCACTTTGTCACCAGGCTGGAGTGCAGTGGTGCAATCTTGGCTCACTGTAACCTCTGCCTCCCAAGTCCCAGCGATTCTCACACCTCAGCCTCCTGAGTAGCTGGGACTATAGGTATGTGCCACCATGCCCAGCTAATTTTGGGGTATTTTTAGTAAAGACGGGATTTCACCATGTTGGCCAGACTGGTCTCAAACTCCTGACCTCAAGTGATCCACCTGCCCTGGCCTCCCAAAGTGCTGGAATTACAGGCATAAGCCATCGTGCCCAGCCTATTTATTTTTTAGAAATGGAGTCTCACTCTGTTGCCCGGGCTGGAGTACAGTGGCATGATCATGGCTCACTGCAGCCTCACCCTCCCAGCCTCAAGCGATTTTCCAACCTCAGCCCCCCAAGTAACTGGGACTATAGGCTCCGGCCACCACGCCCAGCTTATTTCTGTAATTTCTGCAGAGAGAGGATTTCGCCATGTTGTCCAGGCTAGTCTTGAACTCCAGGGCTCAAGCAATCCTCCCACCTTGGCCTCCCAAAGTACTGGGATTACAGGCATGAGCTACCACGAATTGTCCCATCTTGAAGCAAGGGGACCAGACTTTCGTACTCCTATATCAGACTTTTGTACTCCTGGGGCCATTTCAGGGGAGGTGGTCACATCCCCCTGCCATTTCCAGATAAGAGGCTTCTTTCATCAATTCCCAGGAGTAACATGAAGGTGTGGCACCCTTGGGTCTTTGAGAATCAGACAGTGAGGGATTTCTGAGTTTCTCACCAACAGTACTTGGCACAGTGCTGCTGGGGGGGTAGAGGTATAGAAACTCCTTGTTAATGGCGGGGCAGTGGCTCATGCCTGTAATCCCAGCACTTTGGGAGGCCGAGGTGGGTGGATCACCTGAGGTCTGGAGTCGAGACCAGCCTGGCCAACATGGCAAAACCCCGTCTCCACTAAAAATACAAAGCTTAGCCAGGCGTGGTGGCAGGCAACTGTAATCTCAGCTACTTGGAAGGGAGGGTGAGGCAGGAGAATTACTTGAACCCAGGAGGTAGAGGTTGCAGTGAGTTGAGATCACACCACTGCACTCCACCATGCCTGGCTTTTTTTTGCTTTTAGAGACAGGGTGTTGCTCTGTCACCCAGGCTGACATACAGTGGTACAATGGCTCCCTGTAGCCTCAACTTCCCAGGCTCAAGCGATCCTCCTGCCTCGCCCCCCAAATAGCTAGCATACACCACTACAAGCATACGCCACTACAAGGATACACGACTACATCCGGCTAATTTTAAAATTTTTAGTAGAAGCAGCGTCCTCTCATGTTGCCCAGGCTGTTCTTGAACCCTGAGCTCAAGTGATCCTCCTGCCTCAGCCTTCCAGAGGGCTGTGATTATAGGTTTGAGCCACTGCGCCCAGCCGGATATTAAATGTCAACATCGGATTTGTAGGGACAAACTTCCAAACTGTAGCAGGGTGACAGGGAAGTGATTAGATCAGGAAGGTGGGGACTTCGTGAATAGGATTAGTGCCCTTATAAGAAGGGACACAAGAGATTTCTCTCTCTTCGGGGATGCATTGAGAATGGCCATCTGTGAACCAGGAAGCAGGTCCTCTTCACTAGACGCCAGAGCTGCTTACACTTGGATCTACAACTTCCCAGCCTCCAGAATGCTGAGCAATATTTGTTGCTTATGCCGCCCAATCTATGGGGATATTTTAAAAATTTTTTTGAGATAGAGTCTCACTCTGTCACCCAGGCTGGAGTACAACGGCGCAGTCTCAGCTCCCTGCAGTCTTTGCTTCCCAGGTTCAAGCAATTCTCCTGCCTCAGCCCCCTGAGTAGCTGGGATTGCAGGCACGTGCTACCACGCCAGGCTAATTTTTGAATTTTTAGTAGAGACTCAGTTTCGCCATGTTGGCCAGGCTGGTCTCAACTCCTGACCTCAAGCAATCCATCTGCCTCAGCCTCCTAGAGTGCTGGGATTACGGATGTGAGCCACTGTGCCTGGCCTTTGGGGATAATTGGTTACAGCAGCCTAAACGAAGACAGACAGCTCCAAGTCTTACCCACAAAAATGGCCATACTTATACCTTACCAACCTTCTGCCAAGTCCCAAATAGTGACTTTGGTTTTGTCCCCAATTTTGGGGAAGTAGACGTAGCTTCCATTGTGGGACACTGCGGTGAGGCCGGTGCGGTCCAGAAACGGCGCAGGGGCCCGGGGCCTATGAGCATTGCTGAGATCCCAGACCTTGAAAGACGAGGACTGCCAGGAAGCAGATGCCACCAAAGCCCCACAGCAGGCCAGCAGGCTCACAGGGGCCCCGACGCCTTCCAGGATGTCCAGCAGGGTCCCCTGTTCTGACAGACTCCACACCTGGGGATGCACAACAGGAGGGCAGATCTGACGTCCTCCGTGGACAATCGTAGTTCAGAAATACGCTTCGTCCCATTCATACACCTAAGGTGAATTTCAGGCTGTAGTTCAAGGGCCTTCACATCTTCCCATCCCTTTAACTTCCTCAGGCTTGAACCCAGCAGCTACCAGAGCAGTTCTCAAAGTGTGTTCCAGGGAACCCCTGGAGGATACCCTATAAACTTTTTTTAGAGGGTCTGGGAGCTCAAAACTTTCAATTTTTAAAAAAATATTTATCCTAGCCAGGCACAGTGGCTCATGCCTGTACCCCACTTTGGGAGGCCAGGGTGGGCTGATCACATGAGGTCAGGAGTTCGAGATCAGCCTGGCCAATATGGTGAAACTCCATCTCTACTAAAAATGCAAAAAATAGCCAGGCATGGTAGCAGGTGCCTGTAATCCCAGCTACTTGGGAGGCTGAGGCAGGAGAATCACTTGAACCCGGGAGGCAGAGGTTGTAGTGAGCCAAGATCACACCACTGCCCTCCACCCTGGGTGACAGAGCAAGACTCTGTCTCAAAAAAAAAAAAAAGAAAGAAAATTATTCTGATTTTTTGGAGATAAGGTCTTGCCTTGTCACCCAGGCTGAAATGCAGTGGCGTAATCACAGCCCGCTGCAGCCTCGACCTCCCAGGTGCGTGTGATCCTCCCACCTCGGCCTCCTGAGTAACTATGACTACAGGCACGAGCCACCATGCCTAGCTAATTTTTTAGTTTTTATTTTTGTACAGACAGAGTCTTGCTATGTTGCCAAGGCTGATCTTGGACTCCTGGGCCCAAGTGATCCACCAGCCTCAGCCACCCAAAGTGCTGGGATTACAGGTGTGAGCCACTGTGCACAGCCTATTTGTCAGTTTCTTTAAAATTGGAAAAAATCGATCTAAGAAGGAGAAAAAAAAAAAAAAAAGAAAAGAACTTTGGGCCAGGCACGGTGACTCATGCCTGTAATCCCAATACTTTGGGAGGCTGAGGCAAGTGGATCACCTGAGATCAGGAGTTCGAGACCAGCCTGACCAACATGGAGAAACCCTATTTCTACTAAAAATACAAAAATTATCTGGGCATGGTGGTGCATGCCTGTAATCCCAGCTACGTGGGAGGCTGAGACAGGAAAATCGCTTGAACCCGGGAGGCGGAGGTTACGGCGAGCTGAGATCGCACCGTTGCACTCCAGCCTGAGCAACAAGAGCGAGACTCTGTCTCAAAAAAGAAAACAAAACAAAAACAGGAACTTCAAGAGGTGTGAGACTAAAACACAGCAAGATCTGCTTTTTTTTTTTTTTTGAGATGGAGTCACTCTGTCGCCCAGGCTGGAGTGCAGTGGTATGATCTCGGCTCACTGCAACCTCAGCCTCCCAGGTTCAAGCGATTCTCCTGCCTCAGCTTCCTGCGTAGCTGGAGTTACAGGTGCATGTCACCACGCCCAGCTAATTTTTTGTATTTTTAGTAGAGATGGAGTTTCACCTTGTTGGTTGGGCTGGTCTCAAACTCCTGACTTTGTGATCTGCCTGCCTCAGCCTCCCAAAGTGCTGGGATTACAGGCGTGAGCCACCGTGCGGCAAGATCTGCTATTTCACCACGTACTTTCCTCGCTAGCTTGGACAACTTTGAACTTAAATTGAGAATTTTTGTCCCCCACAACCCTGCTCCACTCTGAAAGCTCAAATCTGCCTCAGAGGTTTGAGGCTCAGCTTGGAATGCCACCTCCTTTGTTGGACATTTCAGTAATTCCCACCCAGGTCTGCCACTGGGGCTGAGGATACACCCTCATATCCTCTCAATGAACTCACCTACTTTGCCTGCACTCGTTTTTTTTTTTTTTTTTGGTTTCTGTATTTTGCAGCCAAAAATCCCCAAAGAATCACATTGTTGGCCAGGCTCAGTGGCTCACACCTGTAATCCCAGCACTTTAGGAGGCTAGGCAGGCGGATCATGAGGTCAGGAGATCACAACCATCCTGGCCAACATGGTGAAACCCCGTCTCTACTACAATACAAAAATTAGTTGGGCATGGCGGTGCGTGCCTCTAATCCCAGCTACTTGGGAGGCTGAGGCAGGAGAATCGCTGGAACCCACGAGGCGGAGGTTGCAGTGAGCTGAGATCGTGCCACTGCACTCCAGCCTGGCAACAGAGCAAGACTCCATCTCAAAAAAAAAAAAAAAAATTACATTGTCTATTCTGGAGTCGGAGGTGAGGATGAAGGGTCCTGGGTTTCCTCTCACCTGAACAAGAGCATCAAGGGACCCCGTGATGATCAGGTTGTTCTCAGTACCAAAAACAGCTGTCTCCACCGTGTCCTCGTGTTCCAGATCCGCGGCCATGAATCGGTGAAAGCCCCGAGAGTCTGCCAAGAAGATCCGCACCAACCTTCCGAAGCCTGAAACGGCAGGAACCCGGGTTATAGCTCTCATGCCTGGAGGGGGTTGAAGGTGATTCCTTCCATCAACAGAGATGTTTTGTGGGAAGAAAGTTGCCCAGGTGCCATGGCAAGAGACTGAAGGCACAATCTGTCCCAGCATGATAAACCATTACTTAGATACAGCAATCATACCAAATATATTTACTGTTACTTAGTTATAGCAATGACACCAAATAGACTTAAATACAATCACATAATCAATTATATAATCAGTCTTATTACATTATTATTCTCTATTATTGACCTTTGTTTTAGTATTATGGTGTAGCAACATTTTTAGCCTTATAGTACAGAAATAATTGGGTGAAATATAATTGGGAACTGAAGGGAAATCGTGAGAAGTGATCAGGAGATGAGAGCAAATGCCTTGTGGTAGCGCCAGTGCCTGGGGAGGTGCCCGTTGCTTAGCAGGCCATGAGGGGAGTTTCCCTTTCACTGGGGAGTTCAGAGAACACTCTGCTCCACCCAGCTCTCAAGGAAGGTCTGACACTAGCCGGGCCGGCCCGCAGACAGCCAGGGGCTTAAATGCCTCTCTGCAGTGCTGTGCTCCAATGGTCACCATCCTTGTCCACTTTCATGTTCCGCTTTCCCACACGATGCTCCCTTGTAAATTCTTAGAAGTTGTGAGAAGTAAGAATAGAGGAATCCTAAAAGCCTTTGATCTCTCTGATAAATGCATAGAAAAATACTGACATATGTGCCTCCCCTCCTTGCTGCGGCTACCTGAGAGTTAGGGGCCCCCTATACCGTAACAAGTGTGGCCCCCCATATTGTAAGAATGTGATTTGCTTGACCCCTACCAATCATGTCAGGTGAGTCACTCTCCTGGCCCTGCTCCCCTGCCTTGTATTCTATAAATATCAGCGCATTCTGGCATTTGGGGCCACTACTGGACTCCATGCCTTGGTAGCGGTGGTCAGCTGAATTCTTCTATCTCTGGGTCTTGTTTCTTTCTTTCCTGCAATCTGTGATCTCTGCACACAAAAGAACACCCACTATACCCTGCAGGGCTGGACCCTGCAATGTTTTGGAGGTGGGGCATGGTGGTTCATTCCTGTAATACCAGCACTTTGAAATGCCAAGGCAGGCAGATCACTTGAGGTCAGGAGTTCAAGACCAGCCTGGACAACATGGTGAAACCC